TTTGACCGGAACTACATACTTCATGTTGCAAGTCGAGATATGGATATCAGTTGACATGCCAGCAACAACTCTTGTGTGCTGTCAAGAACTTGCTGTCTTGCAATGGCCTCGTCCGGCGACATTGCATTGCTCGCCCGGTCCATGTCCAACCGGTGCATTGCAATCCGCAAATCGCCTACAGCCCGCTGGATTACAAATCCAATGGGATCCGGTCGAATGACAGCAACTGAATTTCAACAGTCAGTACAATATCTGAAGCAACAGGAATGCTTACAAGATTGATCCGGGTCAAATTGTGCCGGATCCACATCAAAACCCATCTCCAGAGGATTGTCATCCGGCATGATATCATTGGTGTCGAAGCCCATCTCCAGTGCCCCATCTGTGTGTCCGGCCGGATCGCTAACGTCGATGTCGAACCCCATCTCCAGAGCCCCATCTGTGTTACCGGCTGAATCACTGACGTCAATATCAAACCCCAAATCTAGCACATCTTCGACGTCCGACTCTGGTGGAAATCCTAATTCCAGCATCTCGTCATGTGACTGTTCATCGTCAGACATGGTGGGGAATTGCATATCCAAGATGTCCGGCTGTGGGTGGTTGCGAGTGTCGGTTATCCGGTCGTCATCTGACGCGGGAAAACCCAAGTCCAATGACCGGTGGTCACCCTCGGTTTGGAAGTGGACGGCCTTCAATCCATTCCCATCCCCCAACCGGTCATGAGCGGACAGGACATCCAGGTCTTCAAAGGTAATGTGAATGGTCTTTGCTACACATGAGATGAACTCACATTCACCCATGCTTGAACAATCCATCAAAGGGTTGTTGTAAGTGCGCTCATCGCGCCCTGGCTGTAAGATGTCAAATACTAGAATGCCGGATAATGTCAACCGGTCCATTGTTGTAGTAGATAGATTGTTACCTTCATCCTCACTAGACACATGTAGGTCATGCTGGGCCTTGGCTGACGGTCGCATCCTTCTCTTTTTAATTTTAATGAGGGGGTTATATAAATCCGCGGCCTTCATAAGATCACCGGAAGAATAGACGTTCTGCTGCAGCCTGTGACCGGATGATGTTTTCACAGGTTGGGTAGTTACAATTGATTGATGATGACGTGTCAGCCGCACAATGTGATATTCAGATTTAAAAATAGACACTTAAAAATAGACGCTGACAGCGAACAATGGACTCGGATATTTCCGGATCGGGCCGGGCTGCCGGTTGCCGAAATTTTCACAAGTGTGGTTGTTTAACACGTCTCTTCCGGATTACTTGTCCACTAAGTCTCTACTGCAATCATCTCCCTGCCATGTCTTCTCACTCTACCTCTACTTCTGCATCTGCCGCTGCCGCTGCCAACCAGGCTCTCATAGCTCTTGTCACCCGGCTCACTGAGATGGTTCAAGATGTCAACCGGTTGCCGTCACAAGAGGAAAAAATGGAGTTGAGCCGGAAGATTGCGCGTGAAGTGGTATGTTTCATTACCTGTCAATTGTCTTGATTGATACTATGGTCACATAGAATGATGCAATTCGCACCTATGGGAAGGAGGCTTCCTATGTTCCCCCAAACCTGCTGTCACTTGCAGCTGAGATCTTTCGCGCTCAGAGGCGCACCACACAATTGGTGGAAGTACCGGATTGGACCCGTCTTGGGAACAATCAGGACATGTGCATGAAGCACCCATTGTACAGTAAGACATTGGGTGCTGCACCACCTATTGCGTCTGCAGCTCCTGGTGAGTGTCTTCCTCCTCATCCCACCTGTACTCACACCTGAGACTGCAGTAGCAACTGCACCGGTACCGGTACCGGCACCACCACCTGCTCCCACACCTGCACCACCACCTGCACCTGCACCTGCACCTGCACCTGCACCTGCACCTGCACCTGCACCACCACCTGCACCTGCACCTGCACCACCACCTGCACCCACCCCTGCACCTGCACCGGCACCACCACCTGCTCCTGCTCCACCACCTGCTCCTGCTCCACCACCTGCTCCTACCCATGCACCGGCACCACCACCTGCACCCACCCCTGCACCTGCACCTGCTCCACCACCTGCTCCTACCCCTGCACCGGCACCACCACCTGCACCTGCACCTGCACCTGCACCTGCACCTGCACCACCACCGGTACCGGTACCGGCGCCTGCGCGAGATGCCAGCATTCGCATGCCAAGACGTGCAGCATCCGGTGAAACTGCACCGGCAGGGTCGTCGACGACGCGGAAACGTCGACTCAGCACCAGCCCTCCTGTCCCTCGTGGCAACCGGTCCCGGAAGCCTGTCGTCAAGTCGAAGGCAATCTTGTCCGACACTGATACTACTGACGGTGAGACGGTGAAGGGGAAGGGGAAGGCAAAGGTGCCGGAAGTTGAGGGTGATGAGGACAACGACGTGATCGATGTCGATGACCTTCCGGATGCTCAGGTAAGTGTTTTGCTCTTCCTACATTCGACCTTACTGACGCTGACAACAGCCCCGGAAATCAACGCGCAAGGCTGTTGTCCCTGCAAAAAAGCAGGGCAAACTGAAGGCAAGTCGGTTTGTTGCGATTGCAGAGGATGATGAAGATGAATTGGAGGAGGATGAAGACGCACAAGGCAAATCAAAGGTAAGTTATTGATTTATCTTTATATCTACCGGTCCATCGCTCATCCTGGTGCAGGCCACTTTACGTCCAGGGAAGCGACAAAAACTGGTAAGATTTGCTTGTATATGCGAAGATCGAATACAAACTGACATTACTCCATAGTCCAGCCAGTCCAAGGTCAAGACCACCGGCAGGAAGACCAAGGTACAAGAGCCGGTGAGTCCTCCGGTCACTGCTAATTTTTGCCATGCTGATTTATCATAGCCCCGCGCTGACGGACCTCTGCCGCCTTGTCAGAGATGCAAGGCGAAGAATGTGGAGTGTTGCCCCCGGTTAACGAAGAAAGGCGATGTCGCCTCGACATGCACGTTGTGCCACGTCTGGAAGATGGCATGTATCCGGCCGGATACAGAGAGTTCCACCGTTACCCCCACCACTGACACTGCACCACCTGCCGCAATCACCACACGCTCTAAGACGACCCAGTCCAAAGCGACCGGCAAGAAGATGGTGGGGAAATCTAATGCGAAAGGTAAGTCTTTTGCTTCCGGTTGCTTTATGTTTCTCACCATGCTTGTAGAACAGAAAATCCGGCAACCTAGTCCTATCGAAGAGGAAGACGACAACATCGAGATGTTCGATGGCACTGTGGGTGTGCCGGGTGCTCAACAGCAATCCGCCCCTTTGGCGTCAGCAGACGATTTCCCTGCGGATCACTGGATCGAGCCTGGCACTGACGAGTTGCCACCTCCAGCTCCATCACCGGCCATGGCCTCAGAGGACGACATCCGGTTCTCACCATTACCTGTCGTCCACACCCCACCCATCCGGCACCCCCTTTCTCATGACCAGATGGAGGCCATGTTGGCCCAAATTCGCGTTGAGATGGAGGACCTTCGTACACGCGATCGATTGGAAATCGACTTGCGGCAAGATCGCCTGGAGCGTCGCATGGGCCTTGCAGAGGCATCTGACAGTGCAATGTCCATGCAGGTGGACGAACTCGAGCGGGATATGCAGGTGCAGCGTGGACTCCTCTCTGAGTGCACCGCCGAAGTGAGAGGCATCGTCAGGTATCTGAGGGAGCATAGATCTGCTCAAACACCAGCATCAACTCCTCCGCCGGCATTCAACCCACCTCCCATCACAGCTCCTGGCCCATCCATCAGTGCATTTGCCCGCACTGTCACCAACAACGTGTTCACCCCGGATGTATCTTGGATGGGTGCCCAGACCGGTGGTGATGCGTTTGGTGACACTGCAGACGGCTCACCGGTCGCAAGGCTCAACCGGGTGTCATCTACTCCCACCAACATCCCTCCATTGACCATGGGGGAATCCAGATCATCTGTTCCTCCGGCTGGCTCTCCGGCTGTGCGATCTCCTGATCCCCCGGTTGCCGGTCCATCACGTATGCCGGCTGATGCGCAGTCCATCTCGGCTCCTTTGCCACGCCCGCGATATGGACCTCTATCTCAACAAGGTCGGTCAGTGAGTGCTAGATATGCAAGCAAGCCTTCCGGTGATGGGACACAGTAGCACACCATTCATGTTTTTGTATGTACCTGTCGTCTACATTGTGTTGTCGACCTTGCATGCTTTCAATGAATATGATTTGACTTGCATTCAGTAGTATGAATACTGCGGGACCGGATGGCGTTCTGCCGGCTCATCTGTATCATCCATTTAATGTACTGGCTCATCCGGCCAATCCATCTAACACGACCGGCTCATCTGTATCATCCATTTCATGTATCATCCGGCTCACCCGGCTAATTTGTATAGTCGATTTTCATATACTACCGGCTCAACTGTATCATCCATTTACTACCGTCTCATCTGTATCATCCATTTAATGTACTGGCTCATCCGGCCAATCCATCTAACACGACCGGCTCATCTGTATCATCCATTTCATGTATCATCCGGCTCACCCGGCTAATTTGTATAGTCGATTTTCATATACTACCGGCTCAACTGTATCATCCATTTACTACCGTCTCATCTGTATCATCCATTTAATGTACTGGCTCATCCGGCCAATCCATCTAACACGACCGGCTCATCTGTATCATCCATTTCATGTATCATCCGGCTCACCCGGCTAATTTGTATAGTCGATTTTCATATACTACCGGCTCAACTGTATCATCCATTTACTACCGTCTCATCTGTATCATCCATTTAATGTACTGGCTCATCCGGCCAATCCATCTAACACGACCGGCTCATCTGTATCATCCATTTCATGTATCATCCGGCTCATCTGGCTAATTTGTATAGTCGATTTTCATATACTACCGGCTCATCTGTATCATCCATTTAATGTACTGGCTCATCCGGCCAATCCATCTAACACGACCGGCTCATCTGTATCATCCGGCTCATCTGGCTAATTTGTATAGTCGATTTTCATATACTACCGGCTCATCTGTATCATCCATTTACTACCGGCTCATCTGTATCATACATTTAATGTACTGGCTCATCCGGCCAATCCATCTAACACGACCGGCTCATCTGTATCATCCATTTCATGTATCATCCGGCTCATCTGGCTAATTTGTATAGTCGATTTTCATATACTACCGGCTCAACTGTATCATCCATTTACTACCGTCTCATCTGTATCATCCATTTTCATGTACTACCGGCTCATCTGTATCATCCATTTACTACCGGCGCATCTGTATCATCCATTTCATGTTCATCCGGCTAATCCGGTAAACACTACCGGCTCATCTGTATCATCCATTTCTTCTTCACCGTCAATACCGGAAGAAATTTCCACCATCTACCGGATGGGATATCATCAAGCTGTACCCCCGGCCCACCCGTCTTCCATTGAGCTTACCCCCCCCTGGCCCACCCGTCTTCCATTGAGCTTACACCCTCTGGCCCACCCGTCTTCCATTGAGCTTACACCCTCTAGCCCACCCGTCTTCCATTGAGCTTACACCCCCTGGCCCACCCGTCTTCCATTGTGCTTACTCCCCCCGGCCCACTCGTTTACATTGCACACCATTCAGCCGGCCCACTCGTCTCCATCGGACACTGCATTCACTGCTATTCATAATAGACTATACACTACATTCCTATACCACCATCTACATTATATACCACCGGCCCATCCGTTACAAACAGGTACGCACCACACACCGGCCCACTCGTCTAGCATGGTACACTTATTGCCATGGGCCCACATGGGCTGGCCCGCTTGTATTGGTACATTGTCACCCTTAGCTGTCCGTCTAATACGGGTAAATTCACTGAAGGGGCTCTGGCATGAACTTGTAGCATCACTCTGTATGCTATCCACAGCTATTCCTATGCGCAACTCGCGCGCGTACCTTTCCCGCGCTTCACGATGTATATGCGCGCGCGCTTTCCCGCGCTTGAGCGCCCTATAGTGCCAGCCATCCAGAAGCATCCATCCACTGTCCACCAAGTTCCCAAGTGCGTATATTTCCATTTCTCACATTTGCATATCGTTCCATCTTTATTTTTATCATGGACCCTTACTTACATATATCCTTACATACCTTACTCGGTAGCGCTTCGGCTCCGCATGACAGCACTTAGGCACCATACTTAAGCGCCAGCAGTAGATACACTTACTGACTTACTGACTTACTCACCCACCAGAAACGAACCACAACGATACCCATTTACTACCCAGCAGAGCATAGTTGAAATCTATTTCTTGGCACCTCGCATATAACATCTCTCAGCTTGCATCTCTCACCTCTTGTCTAGTGTCTAATCATTACTTAAGCAAACTCACTCTTACTCTCTCTTGTTTCCATATACACGCGCGCACATTCCGGCGCTTCGCGCCTCGTGCGCACCTGCGCTTTCCCGCGCTTCGCATTTGCCAACCAGTAGCGCCTACTACTAGATCCTTGCTGCACTCGCTTCCCCTTTAGGGTTGAACACACTTGTCGTCTCAAGTATAGCAGACTAGGCAACGCGCGACCTTACAACATTTATAGATACAGTCAGGAGCATTGTTCGTGCCTCGCTGTATTGTTGAACCTTCAGCGCCTTGCGCTTCGGCACAGCCGGTGCGCGTCTCTTGTTCTTAGCGGCAACTAAATCAAGCATTAGTAACGCGAAAAGGAAGTGAAAAGTACGAACTCACCAAACGAACAACCCTTGCATGCTTTAACGCAGCCCTTGCACCTTCTGCTTGGCTGCACAACGACGCACTTAGTGCCGGACGCGGCGCAATGCTCGCACCTCTCAGCAGGACGGCTGACAGAGGTAGCAGTCATACGCCCACCCAAATGCTAGAAAAGAAAAACATGTCAGCCAAACTGAAAAACCAAAGAAGGAAAGAAAATACTCACCGGACATCCCATATTGGTAAGCACGGGTTCCGTCGCCTTTTCACCCAACTTCTCTGTCGCCTTCTCGGCCGTCTTCTTGGTAGCGACAACCTCCTTTGCCTTCCCCTTCTCAACACGTGCCGGGTGCGCAGTCACGGTAGACTCCTCCGCCTTCTCCTTCCACATCTTCACGGCCCTCGTTAGCGTCCATGCGGCAATCTTACCCTCAGCCAACGTAACTGCGTCCACATCGTTCAGCAACAAGTGCATCTCTGCTGCACGCGCACGGTCGAAGACAGAGGTCATATCAGACTACAAGCAAAACATTAGCAAAAAGTAAGCACTTAGCATGAACAGCGCCACTCACCATCGCGGTATTCCAATCGCGGAGCCAGCATTCCTGCTCCTCCAAGAGTTCAGGCTTGGAGGGAGGAGATGTGTCTACACAGACATGCATAGTGTTGAGAACCACCGCCCAAGCACGGTCGATCCAACCTGTGTCGGATTCTTCAGGCTCCTTCAGAGCCGTGTCGTCGAGAGTGGCGTCATTTGTAGACACGTCGCCACCAACTTGCGGGCACTCCTCAGGTTTGGGGGAGGGAGAGGGAGATGCAGTCAACATAGCAGGGTTGAAGATAACAGAGGACATGATAGTGGATGGAAGCAGAGATAATTGCGAAGCTGCGATGAGGTATTGAATTGAAGAAGAGAAGCACGACGCATGGCCGGCTTTTATGTCGGAAATGAACCACATTATGTCAGCACAATTCCACCCGCTCACCACACTTCATGCGACCACAGTGGATCTGCTCCACATCTGATTTGGCACGTCTCGCCCACGATCACGTGACTTTTCTCGTCGAAAATTCGCTTAGTCCATCCACCCCTATGTACACTGACTGGGGACAGTCAGAAGCTAAGTTCCTATGAGATGTAGAGACTAACATCTCTGTGGCCTCATAAAGGTCTAATTCTCCAATGTCCTAATCACCTCCCAAACACAGCGCGACCCATATCTCATTTCAGCGCACTTGGCACTTCGTCGGCCGCTCGCGCGCACAGGCACTTAGGTCGTGCATCGGCACATGTATCCTCGGTTCCGTCACTCATCCTCCGTCCATCCATTCCATGTCCATTCAGTTCGTCGGTGCATATTCCTATCTTATTCTCATGTATTCTGACATATCTCCGGTGCTTGCGCATAATATTCCGTATGTTTCGTCATGAACCCTTATTACATATCATCACCTACTCGCTTCGCTTTCCGGCTCGCTTTAGCGCTTGACAGCGCTTAACGCTACTTAGAATGTATATATACCTTGCCTCTATGTAGAATGACTATCTTCTTCTTCCCGCAAAAAAATGTTGGACTCTAAGTCTAAAATCTCCGTTGTATCCGCCAACTGACACGAGCGCCAGTTCTCATATTCTTATACACAAACATTGTCTTACTTGTCTCCCGACTCACTTAAGAGTTGCTGTGCTCCACCACCCGCACGCGTGCCATCGTACTTGTCACTCAGTAGTGCTTCATAGCGATTTCGCCCATCGTGCTTCGCTCATCGTCGCGTGCCTCACCAGGCTTATCCGACAGCCTGGTTCAGTGTTTCCCTCCACTATTGTATATAGAGGAACCTTCTCAGTAGCAATCCCCTTGGGCCGATATTAGATTCGCGCACAGAGGACCATCTGAGTATAATTCATACTACCCACTTCATAGCATTCTACATTCCTCACCTACAGCGGGAAAATAGCGGACAAGGTATGTGTGAGGTGCAGGAATGTATCTGAGGCTACCTGAAGTGCGGGAATGCGCAGCTGAAGGTGCGGAAAGTGTGGGAAAGTGCGGACAAGGTATAGGGAGGTTAAGGAACAAGGTTTGGAGAGAGTGAGGCCAAAGGTATATTGCGAGGTAAAGAAAGTCTAGGTATAGAGAGGTATAAGGAACCTAATAGGGGCTAAAAAGTGCACACTCCAAGGGACTACTTCAAAGGTAAACCTATAGGGAGAGGTATCCAGTATGAGGGAAGTGTAGTAATAATACTTCGAAATAGTCAACTTATACTATCTAAACTCTCACTCGGAGAGGGAAGGGATAGCAAATATAGTAAATATGTAAGGACATGTAATAAGGCTGCAACACATTTTACATGCCTCAAGGTAAGGAAATTCACATACCAATGGGGTTTGGATGGACTATGGATAGATGAGGGACCTTCTTAATGTGTTTCTGAGGTATCCGAAGTGCGGGAACACACATCTGATGCGGCTGATGCATGGGAAAGTGTGGATAAGTGGATGTGCAAAGCGCGGTGTAGCACTCGAGCTCGCACTAGGCTCGTATTCACTGATTTCCTGATACATGTTCAATGCCCGTCACTTTCTGATGTAACCTGCACAACCAGATGCAAACCCGATGCTTTGACCAGCAGACCCAATGTTTCAGCCGCATCGGACCCAATATTTTCCCATGCACTTGTCCTATCCATGTCCCGTCCCATCTTGCTAGCCTCACTAGGTGTGTAGTTGATTATTTCACACATTACTCACATTGTAGCAAGCACTATTACATGTTTTCCCATCATCTGCAGCACCTCGTGTTAATTTACATGTACTTCAGACCTGAAATCGTCAGCTGCTACTTTTGCCTATAGGGTTCCGGATTTCTACGTACTTATATATATATTGGACTGACTATGAGTATTTTCATTATCCAAGTAGTAAAGAGTCGTTTCCCGATACTTAGTGGTCAAACCCAATATTTCGTAGTTCTTAGTTGATATTGTGAATATTACCGCTCTTTCTATCTGAAATACCTGTCGTTATCATATATCCACATACCGCTCGCTTTCCTGACGTTCGCTATTGCCATTCCTGCTAACCTGCTAAACCCAAACCCAAAACCCAAAAACATCGGACCCGACGCTTTGGCGTTGAACATCATAGATATACCCTCAAACTTTGTTTCTCGCGCTCGGACTTTTGACCATTTTATCATTTCACTAACTACAGACCATTCCAAATAGCTAACCCCTCAGGTCAAACACACTTGTCTTGCAAGTATAGCAGACTAGGCTGTGCATGACCACAACACATTTGATATTGCTGGTTACTTACTTCGTGTAGGGCCCAGCAATTGTTGTATCTCTACAGCGGGAAAAGCGGGTTCGGTTTCAGACAGAGGTTACTTGCTGGACAAATGATGGACAATGATAAGGAAACTCATAGTGCTCTATACTCCTTGACACATATATGAATACAGCCTATTTGCAGCCCAGGGAGGATCCGAGTGTCACATCGATGTCTTGCAGAGGATGCAATAGATGAGGACCTACTTGCAGATGGACCCAAGCTCTGGGTGGCCGGAGGTGTAGGCTGAGCACCAGAAGACCTGGGCAATTGAAGTCCAAGGTGTTCATGCATTTAGACAGGAAAAGAGTTTAATAATAGCAAAGAACAAACGTAACAATGAGTGAGTGTATGATAGCTATGTCGAGCTCATTGTTGATGATGGGGGGAAGAAAAATGAATGTGGGAGACTATGCTGCTGCTCAGCTGGAAGTGTGGTACCAGGTAACTCCGGCAAGCTATGTTACCCAGCACCTGGAATTAATAACAATAGATGACCTGCAGTATTCCCAGATACTTCAGATGACTTAGATGAGGAGGGGCAGAAAGAAGAGGTGAAAGAGGAGACATCCAAAAGCCTACAGGATGTGCTCTGTGTTGCCAATAATCTCTCACAATTGGAACTTCATAATGATACTGATGAGAAATAGTATATGCTGCAGGCATTTTCCCATTTTCCTCCACCAAATATCCAAAAAACATTAATTGAGAAAATAGAAATTTCCCCTCATTTTTCCTGTCAAAACATTGAAAAAAATGAATTCATGTTTCAATCATGTGTGGGACATGATGCAAAAGTTGGTCATGTTCCTTCAAGGATAATGCTGTATTTTTGATGTATTGTCTTTGAAATAACAGCTGAAAATAATGTGAATTTTCTTCTGTGTTTTTCAAATATATACAGAACACTTAAAAAACATAGTATATTTGAAAAACACAGAAAAGAAAATTAACATTATTTTAAGCTGTCATTTCAAAGACTATACATCAAAAATACAGCATTATCCTTGAAGGAACATGACCAATTTTTGCATCATGTCCCATACATGATTGAAACATGAATTCCTTTTTTTCAATGTTTTGATAGGAAAAATGAGGGGAAATTTCTATCTTCTCAATCAATGTTTTTTGGATATTTGGTGGAGGAAAATAGGAAAATGCCTGTAATGATAGCTTAGTTTATACATTCTAATTGACACTCTATCTGGCTTCACTTTATCTCATTGTGGGAGTCTGTGAAGACCATTGTCTAATGGACCATAGCAGGATGGGAACATGATGTGCATAGAAAATGCCCCTAATACATTGGGAGTCCTAGAAGGCCACTGTGGATGAATGGCAATAAATTGCAGCCATTGTGTACTCATTATTCTCTGGTCCATCTACAGTGGCCTTCCGGAACTCCCACTGTATGTGTGGGGCTTTGTATAATGACTTTCATCCAATATTGTCAATTCACAGGGGCTTCCATGAGATGATAAGCATATGATAGCAAACACCCCATGACATAGTGGGAGTCCTAGAAGGCCATCTTTGTGGAAGTAGTATATCCTACATGATCTCTAAGGAGGCCATATGCAGTAGCAGTCTATGATTTCCACCTTTGCCTGGGCAGCGCCTAGCTGATGAAAGTTGAAGAAGTCCATATATAACAGGAGTCCTGAAAGACTACAACTGATATATTAAAATTTCTTAAAAATTAAGCTGAAATGGACCCTAGGCCAATCCTAGGAGTCCTATATCTATGACTTAAATTTTGACCTTTTCATAAACATTATGATAATTCCTTCATCAACTCTTTCTCTAGTTTTATCTAGCTTTTCTAATGATGATATCAATCATATCACTGCTTACTATAACTATTTTCAAGATTCTATTACAAGTCTTTTGGATAAAGTAGCGAGAGTACATGTACTCTATAGACCCAATGGATATCTCTTATGAGCCCCACAGCTACATCTCCTTGTCCATTTTGGAGAATATCACCCTCTTTTATTTCATTGTAAACTATGTGTTGATTCTGAAATTTTTGATAATATTTTTAATCTTATTTTTAGCTACCATATTTTTTTTTACGACAATTCCAACAACCTCCAGCATTCTATCTCCATTCAACTTGCTATTTTTCTCAACTATGCTAGCCACTATGATAATTCTGCCACTTTCCAGTGTATTTGAATAGGCTGGTATTAGTGTTGGGTCTGTAGTTAACTGTACCAATTGCAGAATGATTGTAAAATATATTTGCTTTTATATTGTATATATTAAGGATGACATAGATACTATAAATAATTAATCTAAATAATGTCAAGATAGCAACTAGTGGCCCATAAAGCTATTACAAACAAAGTAGAAGTAGATAAAACAACTAAAGAAACTATAATTCACTAGTATACATTAGTTTTTTGTAGTTATCTTCCAATATTTGATTTGAAGGAAAAAATGTCACTATGAAGGCTCCATGGCCTCAGAAGCCTTTCATCTATCCTTTAGAGTACAAAAGTCTAATAGTATCCACAT